GATCTCACTGGGCTTTACTGCTCTGTTCTGTGCTTTTACCCTGATCTCACTGGGCTTCACTGCACTGTACTGTGCTTTTACCCTGATCTCACTGGGCTTTACCGCACTGTACTGTGCTTTCACGGCGGTATGCATGTGTAAACAAGGAGTAACCACACAGTACAGGTCCTGCTTGTGGGATCTGAGTAGCAGCCGGATGGGAAAAAGGGCCTCTGTGTCTTGTGCCGTCAAGCAGAGCAGGAAGTGTTCCTGTAAGGCAGCCATTCAGATGGAAAGGAATGTGGCAGTTTCAGGGGAGGAGGAAGCGATGGAAGGAAAGGGTTTTAAAAAAGATCCTTTGCCAGAAAAACAAGAAGTTTCGAAATGCTCTGAGGGATGTTGAGTATTTTATCAAATCTCAACACTCTGCTGCTCCTAAGGTACAGCACAAGCAATCTGATACCCACTCTGCATTACAGCCTGGTGTGCCCACATGATACTCCAGCCTCACGAATGCCGGACAGAACTGAGACAGGGGCCTTCTGCTGCTTTATTACTAAACACACACGAAGTACAAAACCATGGGCTACACCCAGGAATACGTCCACACAAATAGACAATAAAACACTAAATAGACTATTTAACTAACTCTGTACCCACTGACAAACAGAAGAAAGGAACTGGAATTTCAAAACATTTTGTTTTTTGACAAAGAATACCTCCTCAAGTATCTTAAGCAAACCTGACAGCTAGAAACACAGTTATTCTGGACATTTGGTCCCTCGCTCTGCTTGGGGCTAGGAAGGAATTGTCCGACAATAAGGTACTAATTGCTGCTGAGGGCATCGTTCTGTGTCTCTAACGTGAAAGCCCAGGAAATCCGAATGGCATGCAAAAAATTGGGATCGGGAAGTACACGCGATTACGCCAGCAGCTTGAGAGGACACTGGACGTGCTGTCACTTCCTTATCACTGTCCTCCAGAAGCGTCTGTTTCCTGGAATCTTTCGGGTCTGGTCATGATCTGTTCTTTAGCAACACCGAGTGCGTAATTGAGCCCTCACGTACTATCACAGAACGTCTTAAGGATGCTGCACAAGACAGAGGGGACATTTCTCAACAAAAAAGAGCAAATGACCCAGTCCCGTGACTGATGAATTCAGAATCTTAAGCTTGATCAGGAGTATGTCAAGGGACACCAATAGAAAATGAGCATCACAGTATCTCTGATATTGTAATGTCACAAAAATACAGGAGGCACTTCTGTGCCCAAAGAGTGGCGAGAGTGTGGAACAAGCTGTCTGACCATGTTGTTGAAGCTCTTTCACTTCAAAGCTGAGTGAGATCCTTCACTCAATTAGCTACAAGGAACCTAGTGAGCACCCCAGGGCCCAATCTCTTTTCTGTAAGGTCCGCCTTATTAATAAGCTTATTTTGTCAAGTTTCAAAGAAATATTCCTCATGGCGCTGTACAGCAGGAACGTGGGGAAAACAAAAACCTGAAAGTG